GCGCACGCCATGGAGGTGAAGTCGCCTGCACCTGCTTTCCCACAAGCCTGAGTCCCCGAGCAGCCGGGGATGAGCTGGTGATCCCAACAGCCTGACAGCCCTGCAACAGAGGAAGCATTCGGCCTGGGGACTGCCGAATGGGCAAAAGATGGAGGCTAGGTCTAGGGATCCTACCTGCACGATTTCGTGCGCTGGGCCTCTAGTATAATATATATTGTTATAGGATCATATATGGATATGTTTTTAAAAATTGGTTATAGCTGGATTTTAGAGATTAAAGTATAGTTGAGGCTCTGCACAATAAGACTAAGTCTCCTTGGGATGGATACAAATATGTTTTTGGATTCTACTTAAATGTTTGTTCATGTAAAGCTTTTATTATTGTGGAAGTAAAACCAGGAGCCTTTACAAGTTTTACCCATTTCTTATGAGGCAAGCACTTGCATTAGTGGTGCACTATAAATTAAATTCATACTACTGAACTGTTTGCTTTATAGGGTCCTGGTTCTTACATCATGAACTACATAATGTACATCTTCTGGGCCTTGAGTTTTGCCTTTCTTGCTGTTTCTTTGGTAAAGGTATTTGCTCCATATGCCTGTGGCTCTGGAATTCCAGAGGTAAGCCATACAGTATTTAGTATCATTAAACATTTAGTAATTGTTATGATGCTTATCTTTTTTGCTTCTAGGGAAAGTAGTTTTGTTTTTTTTGTTTTTTTTTTTTTTGGCGGGGGAGAGGGGGCGGGAATGGTTTGTTTGTAATATAAAAAAAGGAAAGTTTAGCTGGTGTAGCTCAGTGGGTAGAGCGTCAGTGGAAAACTGAAGGGTCCCAGGTTCGATTCCAGTCAAGGGCACATGCCCAGGTTGCTGACTCCCACCCTCCCAATGGGGGTCTGCAGGGAGGCAGCCCGATCAGTGATTATCTCTCATCATTGATGTTTCTATCTCTCTCTCCCTCTCCCTTCCTCTCTGAAATCAATAAAAATATATTTAAAAAACAAAAAAGAAAAGTTTAAAAAATGTAAGCTTATTGTAGACATTGAAAGAAATTCTGCCCTATAGTCATTTCACCATTTACCTTGGAGGTTGATTTTTTTTTTTTCTTAACACTAATTTATCACATGGCTAAACAAATAGCATAAGACTTACTTAGACCCCAAGAACCTGAAGAATTACCTTGTAGCCTGAAGTTATTTGATAAATTGATGTTTTGATTTAAATACATTCTTTCTCTCTCTTTTTCTATATAAATATATTTAATTAAATAAGTTAATTCTTGAATTTGGCAGATAATATAACCATTTTATACTTTAAAATAAACATTGGGTCATAGTGAGTCAATAGCACAAACTTTTGTGTTTTATTGTTTATCAACAGTAAAGGAGGCTATAGTTAGGATTGAACATCATATCAACTCATTTCTTTCCCTCACTTTGTATTTTTCTGTGTTAAATAATTTACCACTTTTTCTAGTGCATTTCTTTTAAAAGCTAAATTGTAGTGATTTTCAAAGTCTATTAAGAATATCTTAAATAAGGAGCAATATCATACAGTATTTAACAGTTGTCACTTAACGTGTAGATAAATATTACATATAATTTACATACTGAGAAGGCATAATATCTTTATTTCTGACACAAAATGTCTGAAATATATCTAACTATTATATTTCTACAACAAATATTTAAATTTGTCTTTTTCTGGTTTGTAATTATATATCTTGTATTAAGGTCTGTATTCCCTTGAACGTGGCCTGATATTTTAGTTTTGTTCGTGAGATAGGTTTGCCTTCTATCCTTGCTTGGGGCAGTGTTAGAATATGATATAAATTTATTATATGTAGCGTATTAGTTAAAGCTTTTGAAAAATTAATTGTAAATTGTTCATAGTCCACCAAAATTTATGAGGTGGTATTCTGAATAAAACAAGAGAGTAACTTAAGTTAGTTAAGTTCTCATGGTTTGGTTTTTTTTGGATATCAATCTGTCTTAATCTTTCCTTTGTAGATTAAAACTATTTTGAGTGGATTCATCATCAGAGGTTACTTGGGAAAATGGACTTTAATGATTAAAACCATCACATTAGTACTGGCTGTGGCATCAGGATTGAGTTTAGGAAAAGAAGGTCCCCTGGTACATGTTGCCTGTTGTTGTGGAAATATTTTTTCTTACCTCTTTCCAAAGTATAGCACAAATGAAGCTAAAAAAAGGGAGGTAAGTGTCTTTTCTAGTTTATTTGATGTATAAATATCTGTCATATACACTTAATTCAGTTGAAGAATTTTCTAGTGTAAAAATCACATTTACTCTTTACTTTTTGGATACATTTTGTGTTCAGATTAAAATTACAATGGGAAAATTGTTTGCTTCCTTCTCTTTTTGTGAATAATCGCTAATTGCTTTGCCTTATACCTCCTCTCCTCTCAAGTGTTTCTCAAATGTAGTATTATTTTACTCTTCTCTCTCACCATCAGTATTTCTCCAGGGTTGGAAATCTTAACAGCTGTGTTTTCCTCTGGGAGGAGTGTCTGATGCCAGTGGGTGTGTGTGTCATCTGCGGAGAGCTTTCTGGCCCCAGGGGCAGTTCTGAGGGCCTCTAGACTGCCTGAGGTTTAAATCAGAGATTTACATTAAAGGAGATGTAGGAACTCCTCTTTATTCAGCTGTTCAGGGAAGTTTCTTTTACCATGTTTTAAAAGGCCAGCCTGAGATCGTCTAGGTCCGGAGATCTTTAAACTTTACATCTTACAAGAGTTTCCCTGATGTTTCTAAATTGCTCTGGATGTCTTCTAGAAGGAAAGTAGGCTCCTGGGATATTCTGTATTAGCTCTAAACTTGGGAGGCCCAATCCCATCCAGTTTTCCCAGTCTCATCTGCAGTCCTAGATGGTGCAGAGCCTTTGGGTTTTTAAGGTACAGTATTTTATATCTCATTAAATAATGAGAATTCAGGGGTTTCTGGCCCTAGCATAGGAAGAGCTTTCAGCCTGTTGTTTTTTATACTACAGTGAAAAAAGTAGAATATTTTTATCAAACTATTTAATTCCTCAATTGATATAATTCCAGTTCATTTTAATGTTAGCACTGAAACGTCCTTGCATTAGCAGTAGTCTAAAAGTGGAACATTTCAGAGTATCATTGCTCTATCTCTGGATGATAATTGTGATTTCAGTACTATCCTGTACATAACAGCAATTTTCTGCCTTTTTCATCTCATGGCACACATAAACTAATTATTAAAATTCTGCAGCACACCAAAAAAATATATTTCTTTGCCAATCTGACAAAAAATAGGTATAATTTTGATTCATTCACACCGGAAGGCTATTGTATTGGCTGTTGTCATTTTTTTTCATTTGACAAAAGGGAAAAGAGGCCAGTATCCCTGACTAAATAGTTAGGTGTTGCATGTTTTAAAAATTCTCATGGCACACTGGTTGAAAATCGCTGTTATGTAATTAGGATAACTAACATTATTATTGATTACTTACTATGTATCTGGTTCTATGTCATATTCTTTACTTGCATCTTAAAATTTAATCCCATGATAATCCTATTAACATGGCATTATTATTCTCATTTATAGATAGGTAACTAAACTAAATCTTGGCTAATTTGCCCAAGATTACGTGTCAGAGTGTAGATTAAAATTTATTTTTCTTCCATTCTAAAGTCTATACTCTTGACTATCCTAATACTACTACTACTACTATGACTGTGTGGACATGTGTTTATGTCTTCTCAAAGCAAAACCTAAACTATACTATAGCAGGGCAAGTTAATGGTTAAATGGAACTATAGCATTTGTCTCCCCAGTTCAATTCCTTTACTTGCTATTGTACCATGACAATTTGGGGGTAAGATTTGTATTTTTATTTATTCATTATAAGTGAAAAATGTAATTTATTAGAAAATGTTATAGAAATTTAATTCATCTGAATTTTAATATACACACTGTGATGCTTAGTAATGTTTATGACAATTTTATTCTGTCACCTTAGTATATAAATGTCTAGACTTTACTTGTTAGGGTACTTGTTAGTGAAAGCATTAAAGCCTCATATTTTGTCTTTCTTCCTATACCCACTTCTTTGACATTTTTTAATTAAATGATTCTAAAATACTTACTAAAGATATTAAAATGTGTGTTATAGGTGTATGGGTATTAGTTTGATTATAAAATTCTATTTTATTAAATGTAGAATTAGAAAATTCAGTTAAATATGTTGTCTGCAGTTCCATTAATGGGAAAAACAAAACAGAAAGTAAGTTAAATTTTCTCACACTTCTTCCCTAAATAAGCAAAGTCTGTATTCTTAAAGCCAGTTACGATTTAATTAAAACACTACTTGTTTATTTTTAATTTACCAAACAGTAGCCTGACTATGTAGTTTGTACTCTTAATCATTTACAATTTAATTTTGATGATTTCTAATTTCTTTTTCAGAAATGTAAAACTTGACCATTTGAGGAAATGCTTTGGTAGCCTCAAATATTTACTGAAGTAGTGAAAAGAATAAAGACTCTTAGAAAAGCAATTAGAAATAGATGCCCAGTGTGTAGTTGGCTTCACACTGGTGGGACTTGGGCAGTGTCCAAGTGACAGACCAGGAAGTTGCAGAGAAGATCCACCAGAGAAGTTATTATGTGATTCTGGCTGGTGAGGCTGTATCCTAAGGGGCAGCCATTGTTTGTGCTGAAGGCTCTCCATACCGGTAGTGGCAGTATTTTCAGAGGACTTAGGGTAGTGAAAACATAGGGAAACTCAGTAGTTTTTAAGTTCCCTGGATATTTTACTAGGATTTGGACTAAGGCAATTATTAATGACTAGTAGCCCGGTGCACGGATTCGTGTATATTGAAAGGAAATTAATTAGAAGAAAGATTTGTGCAGTAATTATATTACTGCAAAAAATTACATGTCAAAATAGCATATATAATATAGTATTATAAAATTAAAACGCTGCAATTGGCACCAGCGAGAGCTTTATATGTATCGCACATGCACGAGTCAATGTTTATTTTTAAATTGCCAGTGCGCCTCATATGTACCTGCCGGTTGTTTGGTTGGACGGTCGGACGGATGTACAGTTGGACACGTAGCCTTTTATATATGTAGATGATGCAGTTAGCTCTAAAATATGAAGAAATTATATCCTATTTAAAAATAAGTAAACAGCCCTAGCCAGTTTGGTTCAGTGGATAGAGCGTCGGCCTGTGAATTGAAGGGTCCCGACTTCGATTCCGGTTAAAAAAAAGAACATATATTAAAGTTATATATAATTACCATTAAAGTATATTTTAGCATACTTTTCAGTTTTATATCTAGTGTAGTAGGTACCTCAGTTGCAGGCTCCTCCCCAGCCTGGGCCCTGGTCTGTTGGGGCATGTGCAGGAGGCAACCAATCAGTGTGTTTCTCTCACATCAATATTTCTCTGTCTTTTCCTCTCTCTTCCACTTTCTCTAAAAATTAATGGAAAAATATCCTTGGGTGAGGATTAAAAAATAAATAAAAATACGTAAACTCTCCCCTCAAACCAGTTACTACTCTCTCTACTGGTCTTCGCAAACAGACATCTTGAAAGTTGGCTGTATTTATTGCCTCTTTTTTATATCCCATTTATATTAGCATATCTCGCATAAGGTTTTTTTTTTTAACTGAATATATGATTGACCTTTCAATTAAAGCAGAAGATAAAAAAATATTTTTAGAGGAAATACATATTTGCATTTGCTTGGGGAGGAGGGAGACATATGAGTTAAATTCAGAAGTCATTTCGAAAATTCGAGTAATGTGAAGAATTTTTATTTGGCATATGTTTGAACTATAAAAACACGAAATAAACCACATCCTTTTTTTTTTTTTTTAGGTGCTCTCAGCTGCCTCAGCTGCAGGTGTTTCTGTGGCCTTTGGTGCACCGATCGGAGGAGTTCTTTTTAGCCTGGAAGAGGTAGGTTAAAAAAAAGAACATATATTAAAGTTATATATAATTACCATTAAAATATATTTTAGCATACTTTTCAGTTTTATATCTAGTGTAGTAGGTATAGACTTTGTTTTTAAGTTTTCAAATTTATTTTCATAAACTTATTTTTCACTCATACATAAAAGGTAATATACTATATATGTTCTTTACCTTGAGAAAATTTTTAAAAATATATTATTTAAAAACATTAGTTATTGTTTAAAATTTAACTTTGCTGACATATTAAAGTAAGCAGATATGAATTTGATTTAATAAAGAAATATTTAAAACGATCTATCTCTATTAGCTTAAATACAGCCTTTTTATTTAAATTTTTTAATTAATTCCTAAATCATCTTTGTAAGTTTTTCTTCTGTGATTATTTATATTGCAGTTATTGATGTTTGAGGAGATCATTTTAGTTGCTTTAGTAGAATATTTTATTTTTGTTTTCTCTTTGGTGCTTAAGACTTTTTACACATTTACACAGAAATATGACTAGGAATATTTTAAAATGTACTTTTCTAGTTATTTCTGTTTTTTCCTCTTTTTAAAATTTAATATAGAAGAGGTAAATCAAATACTTCTGTATGAGCTAACAGGAGCTGGTGGCAGTACATTTATTGTTAACTACTATGATTGGAAGTTAAATTCATTTTGAAAATAAGAAATCCTAGGTATTTTAAATAATTATTAGACATTTATGACTAGTTGATATTGTGAATGTATAATGAGTGATAGTTAAAGTTAATAAAACATCAATATTTTTCTTATCATAGTGAAATCCATTCTATGTAAATTCCAGTGGCAGCAAAATTTAGAGCTATGATATTTACTGTTCAAGTTATATCAGAAACATTTTATAAAATTATATCATTAATTTTTCTTTTTCTTTTTTTTTTTAGGTTAGCTATTATTTTCCTCTTAAAACTTTATGGAGATCATTTTTTGCTGCTTTAGTTGCTGCATTTGTTTTGAGATCCATTAATCCATTTGGTAATAGCCGTCTGGTCCTTTTTTATGTGGAGTATCATACACCATGGTACCTTTTTGAACTGTTTCCTTTTATTCTCCTCGGGGTATTTGGAGGGCTTTGGGGAGCCTTTTTCATTAGGGCAAATATAGCTTGGTGTCGTCGACGCAAATCCACCAAATTTGGAAAGTATCCTGTCCTTGAAGTCATTATTGTTGCAGCCATCACTGCTGTGATAGCTTTCCCTAATCCATATACTAGGCTCAACACCAGTGAACTGATTAGAGAGCTTTTTACAGACTGTGGGCCCCTGGAATCCTCTTCTCTTTGTGACTACAGAAATGACATGAATGCCAGCAAAATTGTTGATGATATTCCTGATCGTCCAGCAGGCGTCGGAGTATATTCAGCTATATGGCAGTTATGCTTAGCACTCATATTTAAAATCATAATGACAGTATTCACTTTTGGTATCAAGGTAAGTGCCAATGTGGGGTGATGTTTAACTAATCTTGGCATGATCAAAACTTGTATGTGGAATGAGAGATGAAATTTTTATGTAAAGGTGGTTGTTTCATAACCATGGCCTGAAAAAGTTCTTATTTTGGGGGTTCAATTTTAAGAAATGAAAAAAAAAAGAAATCCTTAGGATATATTGTTGAGCCATGGTATCTGTCAATTTGTAACAAATTACCCCCAAATCTAGCAGCGTATGATAACTTATTTTGCTTTTGATAATGGTCTGATTTGGTTAAGGACTCAGCTGGCATGTTTTGGTCTCTCATACAGTTGTCATGAGACATGGCTAAGGCTGCTCATCTCATAGACATTCATTTGTCTGGCACCTGGTCTGAGAAGATTCAGACAGCTAGAGCTGGAACATCTGGCCTTTTCTAATATCTCTCCCTCTGTGGTTTTTCTGGCATGGTGGCCTCAGGGTGGTTAGATTTCCTACATGGTAGCTCAGGTTTCCAAAAGCAAGTGTCCCAAGAGGACCATTTCTAACCTAGCCAAAGAAGTCATACAGCATGCCTTCTATTGTGTACTGTTTGTCTAGACAGCCACAAAGGCCCACCGAGGCTCAGGGGGAGGGATATATGTTCTACCATTTAGTGGGAGGAGTGTTAGAAAATTCATGATATTTCTAAACCATTTATTAGTTTACTATTGCTGCAGTAATAAATTAGCATAAATTTAGTGGCTTAAAATCACCCAAATTTATTACATTTCTGGAGATTAGAAATCAAAAATAGGCCTTACTAGGCTAACATTAAGGTATTGTCAGGGATCCCCCCCCCCCCCCAGCCTTCTAGAGGTTGCCCACATGCCTTGGCTCATGGCCCCCTTCTTCCATCTTCATAGCCAGCAATAGATGGTCAAGTCTTTCTTTACCTCATCATTCTGAAACTCACTCTTCTAAATCCTTCTTCCACATTTAAAACACCTTTATTATTACTTTGGGCCCAGCCAGATAATCCAGGATAATCTCCAGTTTGAAGGTCAGCTGATTAACAACCTTTATTCTGTCTGCAACCTTAATTTCTCCTTGCTACATAACATAATGAATTCACAAGAATCAGGATATCCATATCTTTAGGAAGCCACTTTTCTACCTTACCATATCCCTGTAGGGGTTACCTTGAAAGGACACTGCTGAAGCAAGAGTTAAATTACTAAGCCCAAAGCCTTTTTAAAAAATACATATATTTTTTATTGATTTTTTACAGAGAGGAAGGGAGTGGGATAGAGAATTAGAAACATCAGTGAGAGAGAAACATTGATCAGCTGCCTTCTGCACACCCCCTACTGGGGATGTGACCTTGACAGGAATCGAACCTGGGACCCTTCAGTCCGCAGGCCAGCGCTCTGTCCGCTGAGCCAAATCGGTTAGGGCGCCCAAAGCCTTTTTCCATCAAGGACTTGGTCCTTATGCCCTGGGACATTGTATTTTTCTAACTTATGAAAGTGAGAATAACATTTGATAGTGATTTGCCAGTAAATATAATTCTATTATGTGACTGTCAGTGATGTATATCAGATGTCAGCTAATCCTTATTCTTTAAATTACTCTACCTGTAATCTACACTAATAAAAGACAAAGATGCTAATTGACCGTACCTTTGCTACGCCCCAAGACACACCCATCAGCCAATCAGAGCGACTATATGCCAATTAACCCAACCAAGATGGTGGCCGGCAGCCACGGAGCTGGAGCAAGCAGGAGGCTTGGTTGCCTGGGCGATGGAGGAAGCCAAGCTTCCCGCCGGCCCTGAGCTGGCTGTGGGCTCCGCTCATGGCAACAAAGTTTCAATTATAGAAGACATATGAATCCCAGATACCTGCTTCCAGCCAGCTCCACTGGGAGCTTGGGTGGCTGGGGGCTGTCGACAGACTACAAACAGCCATCAGCCCCTCACCCAGGCTGGCCACACCCTCATGGGGTGAGGGTCCCTGCTGGGGGTCTTAGCTAGCCTGAAAATGGCCCTCAGCCCCTTACCCAGACTGGCCAGGTACCCCAGCAGGACCCCCCACCCTGAAGGGGCTCTGGCCAGCCTGCAAATGGCCCGGCCTGCAGGCCCTCACCCAGGCTGGCCAGGCACCCCATGGTGGACCCCCACACTGAAGGGGCTGTGGCCAGCCTGCAAACAGCCATCAGCCCCTCACCCATGCTGGCCAGGCACTACTATATAATAAAAGGGTAATATTCAAATTGACCCTAACAGCAGAACGACTAGGAATGACTGGTCACTATGACACACACTGACCACCAGGAGGCAGATGCTCAATGTGGGAGCTGTCCCCTGGTGGTCAGTGTGCTCCCACAGGGGGAGCACTGCTCAGCCACAAGCCAGGCTGACGACTGCCAGTACAGCGGTGGTGGTGGTGGAAGCCTCTCCCACCTCCTCAGAAGCGCTAAGGATGTCCAACTGCAGCTTAGGCCTGCTCCCTGCTGGCAAGTGGACATCCCCTGAGGGCTCCCAGCTGCCAGAGGGATGTCTGACTGCCAGCTTAGGCTCAATCCCCCAGGGAGTAGGCCTAAGCCAGCAGGTGGTCGTCATCCAAGGGGTCCCAGACTGCGAGAGGGCACAGGCCAGGCTGAGGGACCCCCCCAAGTGCACAAATTTTTGTGAACTGGGCTTCTAGTTCATATAATAATATTCTCTAGTGTTAGTGTGCTTTCACAGCTGTACATTGTGGAGAGTAACAGCTTGATTTTAACAAAATTGGAGTGGTGTTGAAATATGGTCTTTTGTTTTTTTTTAATTTTTATTTAGTTATTTTTAAAGAAAGAGAGGACGGGAGAGAGAGAGAGAGATTTGTTGTTTCACTTATTTATGTATTCATTGGTGACTCTTGTATGTCCCCTGACCAGAAATATGGTCTCTTTTGTATTATCCTCTGTGTTTAGTCCACATTATAGTAATTAAATATAATTAATTAAATATAAGACTTAAATATTAGAAAAACCTTGAAATTTTCCTTTTTCTTCTTAGTGAATCAAATTAAAGGAGTTGTTAAAGCTCCTATTTCTACAGTAAGTTGATTTTCTGTCTAAAAACAACAGCAAACAACACACCCTTAGTTGAACTACAGGATACCAGAGGCCTATTACCCTCTGCTTTGGCCAAAGGATCTAACTGGCAGGAGAGTGAAAAACATATTTTGATCCCTTCTATTTGGATATCCAGTTAATGATCCTGATATATTCTTCAACTTGCCAACACTTTGTGCTCAGCTTATTTCATATCCACAACAGTTTAGAGCTATTAGTCTTTTAATAGTCTTTAAATGATCTTGCTTAATGTGTTTACTGTTTCTATTATCCTCATTAGATTCATATGTATGAATTAATTAAAAGGAGAAAAATATTTATTGACTAAATATATATATAATGTATGCATGCATGTATACATATAAATATACTAGAAGCCTGTTCACGAATTCATGCACCAGTGGGGTCCCTCGTCCTGGCCTGCGGGATTGGGCCAAAACTGGCTCTCTGACATCCCCCGAGGGGTCCCAGATTGCGAGAGGGCGCAGGCCAGGCCAGGGGACCCCACCGATGCACTATCCAGGCCAGGGAGAGACATGAGAGGTTGGCCAGCCAGGGAGGGACCACAGGAGGGCTCCAGGGCGTGTCCGGCCCATCTCACTCAGTCCTGATCGGCCAGACCCCAGCAGCAAGCTAACCTACCAGTTGAAGCGTCTGCCCCCTGGTGGTCAGTGCACAGCATAGCGACTGGTCGACCAGTCGACTGTCTGCCCCCTGGTGGTCAGTGCATGTCATAGCAAGCGGTTGAGCAGCCTTAGCATATCATTAGCATATTACACTTTGGTTGAACAGCTGACTAGTCGACTGGACACTTAGCATATTAGGCTTTTATTATATAGGATAATATAAAATCACTACACAATTATTGGGACACCTGAAAACATTGCCCGCTTTATATTGTACCACTTAAGAGGGATAGCATCTTATATTTCTATCATTTTATAAACAAGTAATATATAGGAAGGACATAATCTTGGAGTAAAGGCAGTACTTCATACTGAATTGATTTAGAATTATGAAAAGTGCTTTGTACTGTTCTTTTCTTTCTCTTTCCACATTTTACCATGTACTAATAAAATTTTGTTAGGGGTTGGCATTAAGGAACCCCTACCTAGAGAAATAACCCTTGGGTTATTTTCTCTTTGGAGTAGAGCAGTGGTTCTCAACCTTCCTAATGCTGCGACCCTTTAATACAGTTGCTCATGTTGTGGTGACCCCCAACCATAAAATTATTTTCGTTGCTACTTCATAACTGTAATTTTGCTACTGTTATGAATTGTAATGTAAATATCTGATATGCAGGATGTATTTTCATTGTTACAAATTGAACATAATTAAAGCATAGTGATTAATCACAAAAATAATATGTAATTATATATGTGTCTTCTGATGGTCTTAGGTGACCCCTGTGAAAGGGTCATTCGACCCCCAAAGGGGTCGCGACCCACAGGTTGAGAACCGCTGGAGTAGAGACTGTGATGTGTTATTTTGTAACTGAATTCATGGAATTGTTAGGATACTGTATAGTAAGATTTTGCTAAAAGTTTTAGGATTTTGCTATGTCAATGTGAAAAGAAGCAAAAGTGTTAGAAATCCACAGAACGTAGGTTTCAAGCATGCAGTTGAGGACCTCTGCCTTATTGTGTATTCTATTTTGTTGTAGGTTCCGTCAGGCTTGTTCATCCCCAGCATGGCCATCGGAGCGATTGCAGGGAGGATTGTGGGCATTGCAGTGGAGCAGCTTGCATATTATCACCATGACTGGTTTATCTTTAAGGAGTGGTGTGAGGTTGGGGCTGACTGCATTACTCCTGGCCTCTATGCCATGGTTGGTGCTGCCGCATGCTTAGGTAATAACCACTGTGTCTGTCTGTGTCTGGATGCCTGTGAGTCTGAGAGAGGAAATGAGTAAGAGCTTGCTTGTGCTTAATTGGTGGGGTGGGGTTAGGGAAAAGGTGAGGCACAAGACAGAGGAAGAGAGTGTTTTCACAGAAATGAAGCAGTACTACTATTATATGATACTAGAGGCCCGGTGCACAACATTTGTGCACTGGAGGGGGGGGTCCCTCAGCCAGGCCTGGGCCCTCTCAAAGCCCAGGACTCCTCAGGGGATGTCCGCCTAAGCTGGCAGTCAGACATCCCTCTCACAGTCCGGGACCCCTGGCTCCTTACCACCCGCCTGCAGTGGAGGTGGGAGAGGCTCCTGCCACTGCCGCTGTGCTCGCCAGCTATGAGCCAGCTGAGGGGTGCTCCCCCTGTGGGAGCACACTGATCTCCAGGGGGCAGCTCTCCATTGAGCATCTGCTCCCTGGTACTCAGTGCGCATCATAGCAACCAGTCGTTTCGCTGTTCGGTCGATTTGCATATTAGCCTTTTATATAGGATAAACAGTACTAGGTTTTATTTTACCTGCCTCTGAAAATTTGTTAATGCAAAAATTTAATAAAAATTTAATTTAATCTTTTTAATATCACTTAATGCTTTATGACAGAAAACATCTTAGGCTTAATTTGAATCCTGTCCAAGAAGATTTTTGTTTTTTTTCATTGTCAAGGGTCTTAACTTCCCTCCACTAGCTATAGCCTGGTTCCTAGGGTAGCATGCCAGCAAAGCTACAGAGTACCTTTACTTGGGCTCTGCAGTGATTTATTTTTAGCCTCAGTAAAAGGTTTCTTTACCAGCCCTCCCCCATGTAAGGTGTATTTATAGAAAAATGAGAAAAGTCACTACTCTTTTAAAGAAAAGAAAAGCAAAATATTTGCAAGTTTATTTATTGTCCTCTTGGGCATGAAAAGTAGTTGTTTTATATTTAAAATGTCAGCTAAGCTTTGGTTATAATATTTAATAATCGTTGGTATTTTGACTTATTTTTGTTCAATACATCAAAATTGTGTAAAGTAATTTTTAATCTTCAACAGTATAATATCAAGTGAAAGTGAAGGACAGAATCATTTTCTCTAAAGTAGCAAGTATTTATTGAGTACCCACTTTCTGTTTAGCACTCTGCTAGGCGCAGTGAGTCATAGAAAAAGAAGTATAAACCATGAACCCAACCTCAACTATAATCAGGTTGGGTAGACAAGACCCACACTGACAAAACAATAGTGAGCAATACATAATGATTATATATTATACTGCAAGAGTCTATGAAAATTGTAGCAATCTAGAGAAAAAAAGAGCTGAAGTAATTTAGGTAGGGTAAAACATGAACTTTATTTTTAAAGATTAATAGAATTTAGAGGATTTTGTTGAAGAATATAATAATGTGAAGACAAATTAGAATAGTATTCATGGGCCTCTGAAGAAACTGACAGTATTGAAGTACAGAATGCATTTTGGGTACTTTTGGGAAACAAAAAGTTGGATGGTGAGAAGGAGCCAGATTGTGAGATTGCCATGGTTTAAGTTAGGATGAATTTGTATTAGGAATTGGTCAGATCTATGGCAGTTGTGCCTTTGCCACATGTAGCTTGATGACTTTGGGAAAGTTCCTTTATTTCCTTTAAAAAAATTTTTTTAATGGAAATAATAACTACCTATCTCTTACAGTTGTTTTGAGGATTATCTATATACAGGCAGTTCTCGGGTTACGTCGGACTCGACGTACGTTGTTTCGTGGTTACGTCGCCATCTCCCATTTACAGTATTTATAAAAAGAAAAAGTCTGTCATTTCAACATATGTACATATGTGCTTTATGTTTTTTATTATTTACCACAAGTAAAGGTCAGGAATTGTTATATTTCTTTTAAATTTGTTTTACTGTTTCACTTCATTACTGCTGTGTATGTGCTCCATGTGAGTGACGTAGGTGCTTATGTAGGTGGGTTCCAAATTACGGCGAAAATTGTGTTATATCGAGCTGTAGGAACAGATCTCCGATGTAACCCGAGGACCTACTGTATATAATAGCCTAAGCGACTGTTACGGCAGAATGACCTGAACGACCAGTCGCTATGATGCACACTGACCACCTGGGGGCAGACGCTCAATGCAGGAGCTACCCCCTGGTCAGTGTGCTCCCACAGGGAGCACTGTTCAGCCAGAAGCCAGGCGGTAAGGAGCCAGGTGGTAAGGAGCCTGCCGCTAAGGAGCAGCGAGCTAAGCGGTGAGCGAGCAGGTGGGCAGTAAAGAGCGAGGGATCCTGGATTGCAAGAGGGATGTCTGCTGAGGGGTCCCAGACTGCGAGAGGGCGCAGGCTGGGCTGAGGACTCACCCCCACCCTCTGACCCTCCCCAGTGCATGAATTTCGTGCACCGGGCCACTAGTATGAGATAAAATGTATATAAAGCTCTTAGCATAGTGCCTGGTAAAATAAGTTCTTCATGAAAAAATAATTTTTAAAAACACTTTTGTAAACTGACTAGGACATGCCTGGCATAGTATAGATAGATAATAGTAGATCCTTTCTCCCTTCTATTTTTAGGTTAGAAAACAAGAAGGAAGAGTTTAAGCTTAATATAGAATGAACTGGTGAGCCCTGGTAGGTTTTTGAGAGAAGAAGCAACATGGTGAAAGTGTTACTTAGGAAAGGTTAACCTGGGAACATGGCTTAGAAAGTGGATTGAAGGTAATAGGCCTGGAGTTAAGGAGGTAACACAAAATAGTATTAAAATTAAGGAACAAAGTCTTGAGGGTCTGGACTAGGTTGGGAATAGTGAGAATTTAAAAAAAGGTACCCATAGATATTTTGCAGAGCAAATCAGATAGGACTAGGTGAGAGTCTAGGTGTTGGGATAAAGTAAAAGGATGAACCAAGAATGATTACCTAGGTTGTCAGGAAGAATGTGATGCTGGCTCTTGGAGTCAGGGAAGTTGGAATGGGGAGCTCTTTGGGAAGAAGAGTAGATTAGTTTTAAGTGTGTGATGTTTTCTGTGACAGTGCTTGTGCACTGTCTTTTTAGAGGAAGTCAAGACATGCACAATAAGATAAGGCGTGCACAGCTGGAGACATGGGGCAAATGCAGCCGTAGAGGGAGACATGTGGGGGAGGCATTGGCATAGAGAAGGTAGTTCAGAATGGTGATTGGGATAGATGAATAGATGAGTTTTCTGAGGGAGGGAATATTATACTGCTACCATAAACCACAAGGCATCAACATTTTGCTTATTTTGAAAAGGTTTAGAGGAGAGAAATATAGTAAATTAATATTCTACCCACATATTAATTTCATTTGTAAGTTGGTAGTAAACAAGATAGCTATGATGTGCTTCACCAAATTCCTTGAGAATGAATAATCTTTTATAAGGGTGAAATTATGTCTTTGCTATCGCAGTGAACCAAAATGGCAAAGTTGTTTTGGCTGGACAGCTGTGGTTTTTTATATGAAGCAAGCAGGTTTTGAAATGTTATTTCAAGTCTTCTGTGTTATAAACAAAGATGATTGGTGTTCTTTTAGATCTTATTAAAATAGTAATAATTGTCCTAATAGTAGTTTTCGATGATGATCCTTTTCACTAAGTTTGTATTCACTTGCCTAGTGCAAAAATTCTACTAGCAAGTATTGATGAGCTCCTGTCCTTCCTGACCAGTGGTGCTTATTTTTTTCAGGTGGAGTGACAAGGATGACCGTCTCCCTGGTGGTTATTGTTTTTGAGCTTACTGGAGGCCTGGAATATATTGTCCCCCTTATGGCTGCAGTAATGACCAGTAAATGGGTTGGAGACGCCTTTGGTAGGGAAGGCATTTATGAAGCGCACATTCGGTTAAATGGATACCCTTTCTTGGATGCAAAAGAAGAATTCACTCATACCACCCTGGCTGCTGATGTCATGAGACCTCGAAGGAATGATCCTCCCTTAGCTGTCCTGACACAAGACAACATGACAGTGGATGACATAGAAAACATGATTAATGAAACCAGCTACAATGGCTTTCCTGTCATAATGTCAAAAGAATCTCAGAGATTAGTAGGATTTGCCCTCAGAAGAGACCTGACAATTGCAATAGGTACCTTCTAAAAAAAAAAAAATACACATTTATAAGTATCAGTATCTAGATATCTAGGTAGATAGATATAGATATATAGTAGATTTCTGGAAGATAGGAAAGCAATAAAATTTAATTGGTTGGGTTTGTGAAGGCAGGTCTTATATTCTTTAGAAAAGGAATTTATGCTTCCATGGATTGTTTTCCTGCTAAATAGAGTTTTATCTTTGACTTGGCATTGTTATTAGTTTGGAATCAGATACTTCCCCACCCCCACCCCTCAGATAAGCCTTGTTAAGTTGATTTTTCTTAATTAATATATAATTATTCTTAATGAACATATAAGACTTTAGCAAGTGCCAGGGCATCCAGCAAAATACATTCTTCTATTTAATAAAGTTGGCTTATTTGAATGCAAGTTATTGAAAATTCCATCTTCATTGGTCTGTTTCATACCAGATTCACAAGGTCTTGTTTTTTTAGTTTTTGCTTTAGGTTTATAATATTAACTTGTAATATCTAGTTTAAAGTGAAAAAAGTCATTGAGATTTTATTTTTGGTTAAACATCAGGTTGAAAAAGTATGTAAGTGCTGCTGTATTTTGAGCTAACATTCCTGAAAAAATTTAAAGGCATTAGGCACACTATGTTATTTCTTGGAAATAAATTAAACTTTTTCCCCGAGGAGGAAGCAATTGTGTTCCTCCAAAATTAATTTTTCCTCTTACCCAATAGTACAGTCTTAATAAGGAGACCCATAAGGCTTCTAGTCCTTTTCTACACAGCTGACTCTCCCCCCTCACCTCCAAAGGTGATAGAGAATATTTTCATTAAGTCATTGCTTTGACACTCTGCAGTTTTTAGTAGAGGCCCCTGAGCTGGAAGTGTCAAGCATTTGCCCTGTCTCCAAAGGTCATTCATGTGAGCTCGTCATCCCCCTTTCAACTTATCCCTGTGGCAATTGCAGAAGGATTGTAAAATATTTCCATTCTTGTGCCATTGCAAGAGGAAAGACTAGACAGTGTAGATGAGAGTATTTCTCAAATCAAACTGGAAAGAAACTCAATTTGCAAGAGCTATTAAAGTAGAAAAAAAGAGAGAAGGAAATAGCTTTCGGAGAATATCCTACTCAGTTTAGGAAAAGGCTTACACCTTTAGAAGACTTTTTCAAAGACCGGCAATCCCATCATTCCAAGTTTTGCTCTAAGTAATACAATAGTAGTTGCCAGAGTGGGCAAAGTATGTGGTCAGACTTGTCTCTGTTCAAGTGTTTCAGCTTCTAAGTCATTGCCATGGCAAACCTACAATCAGAATTTAATTTCATTGTTTAGATTCCCATTCTTTAGGTTTTAATGGTAGCCAGGCAAAGAAACGGAAAAGATCAGAATTTTGGAATTTACATAGAAATTTAAAGAAAGAAGGCCAGGTTTTTAAAAGAAGGTGGTAAAGTTAATTACATTGGAGACATATGTAATAATCTTTGTAATATTGAAGCAATAAAACAAAATTTAAAAAGAATCTTGGACCTATTAAAAAAAAGAATTATATTCTCACTGAGTCAGTGGATGTATTTTTTAGTTTTTGTTATTGTCTTGAGAAATAGAATGTTGGGTTGGCAGATAGTGTTCACAAGGGAATAGAGGTACTTTAGATATGTGAGATCAAATCACATCCTCAGAAATGTTAGTCACATGACTTTTCAAACACACCTTAAGTATTTACCCACATACATTTTTGTAAAGTTTAAGTTTTTGAATGGGAAAAGTGGACCTGTATGTTAGGTTTTACACATATAAGTATAATATATAAAATACCTTATTAAAGGACAGTTTTGAATACACACTAAACTCAAAATAGATGCATAAAGCTAGCTATTTTATTTTTGTATTCTCTCCATTTCATGGATTTCCTTCTTGTTCCCATGATCTCTCCCTTTCCTCTGCAGTTTTCTGCCTCGTTGCCACTTCCTGTCTAGCACTCAGAGGGGGGAGTGGAGGTAGGCAGCAGGACCAAAGCATGTGAAGCCGAGCACACCGGAGGGGGCAATTATCACAGCCTTTCAGATAAAACCTAGGAAGTCAGTTTGTGCCCATTATGTGCGTAATTGTAGTTTCAACCCACCTGTTCATACTTGTGACGCATCTAGAAAATTAACATTAGCAAAGAGAGAAGGAGCTAATTCACAGTGGAGAAGTACACACCATTGTGTAGCTCTTTTTAGTCCCACCTCCTAGGCAGGAAAAGTGACTGTTGGCACAGGCAGGTGTTATTCGATGATGGATTCCTATAATTTGTGCAGGTTTAAAAATCTCATTCCAAACATGCTTCCTTATCCCCCCCAGAGTTAATAAACAGGGTCAGTGCCACTAAAGACAATTGAACCATGATTTACCAAAGCATATTTTATTTACATGAAGATGGTGTGTTGGTGATGGATTCTGATTCTGTCAAATATAAGAAATTGCTGACTTTTTAGTTTATTCCTTTCTTGTTTAAGTAGACAGGAAAAAATGAAGGGACCAAAAGTCATGGAATACATTGCTTTATTTGTTTAATCTCTGACCTTAAAGTAAAATAAAACCTGTCAAATTTAATTTTTGATCTTCTCTGTCTTTTCAGAAAGTGCCAGAAAGAAACAAGAAGGTATCGTGGGCAGCTCTCGTGTGTGCTTTGCACAGCACACCCCATCTCTGCCAGCAGAAAGTCCGCGGCCCTTGAAGCTTCGCAGCATTCTTGACATGAGCCCTTTCACAGTGACGGACCACACCCCCATGGAGATCGTGGTGGATATTTTCCGAAAGCTGGGCCTGAGGCAGTGCCTTGTAACTCACAATGGGTAAGTTTCATCAAAAAATCAGTTCACTTGTCAGAGGCTTTTATCCCTTTTAGTGGAATTCATATGCACTTAATAGGAGAGAGTGTAATCAGCTCCCAAGTGGGAAAGTCTGGCTCTTAGTGTGGCTATAAATACAAGATCAATCAGATTGACACCAGAGAATAAGAAAAATGTCAACTCCCAGATCTTTGCCAAAGTGTAGTGACACTTGTCAGGCAGAGAGGTGCTGAAACATCTTCAGCACCTACGTGGTGCTTCGAGCATTTCCTCCCGTGGACGAGAGGTGGCCCTGACCTGTGTGGAGGACTGCCAACACCTGCTTCCTCTTGTCTTTCAGTTTTAAAATATGTATTTCTAGTGCAGAATAACTTTCTAGATGTTCTGCTGTTTACTGTGACAGCCGTTATTTAATTTGTCATGTAACAAGGGAATATATATAATTAAATATATTAATTTAATTAAATGCATAATTAAATGAACTTTGTAAATTAGCTGAAAACTTCCTTTAGCAAATGCTTTGTTTCCTCTTTTCTACCTTCTCCACTCAGAGACCTTTTACATACAAATACTCAGGTATTTAAAATGCAAAAATTGATTATTTTTGCCCTTTACACACAAACTGCCAGTATTTCTGAGGATGGGGAAATAGGAAGGTTGCGTTTGGCAAATGTCACAGGGATTGTGGAGAGTAGCACAGAGTATTATTCCCTAATCGAATGAGCAAGGTATTCAATAAACAGATTTCCTTTATTTTTGGAATAAAGGAAATGCTCCCTCATGTTCTGCTCCCTCTGTTCCTGACCTGGGATCTGCTTCCCTCCCATTCTCTCTCTAGCCCCCTTTCCCCCTTCATGTTACTGTTCCTAGTTTAGATACTTAAGAACGTTGTTTTACCTGAGGGCTGAAATGGAAAGCTAGAAATGAGGAACAGAAGATTGTGCATAAACTGCATGCATAGCCTGAAGCTATTGAAATACCAAACACTTAGAGAATCACAGCATGTATTATAAAATATCATTTTGTACAAAATATGTGACCCCCTATCTAGAGAAAAGAGGGAGAAAGGACAAAAATAAAGGAAATTTGTTTATTGAATACCTTGCTCATTTAACTTTGCAGCCTCTCTGCAGAGTCGGTGGCAGTATCCCGACTTTACAGACGTAGGAATGGAGCTTGAAGAGGTTTGGTAACTTGCCCAGTCACGTGGTTAGCAAGTCAGAGATCAGGGAATAAAATATCTTTCCAGTTTTAAAACCCAATGTCTTGCTATTGTTTTATAATGTAATTGACTGATAGAATCTTAACCTACTATTTTCTTGGACATATATAATACTGTATTGTGTTAGGAATAGAAATATAAAGCTAGAAAGTTATATCCATGTTTAGTGATTTCACTGTGCTAGCCAGTTAAAATAACTGGAGATGATATGAAGTAAATCATTAAAGAGATAAAGTTCTTGATTAGGGGCAGGGAGGTCGGAATTGTTAAATATTACAGATATTGATGGGAAGAGATGTATGTAGTAAAAGAACCTTTTTCTTTAGTGTTGTTTAATGTGAAAAATAATGGTACCAAACTTCACTGTTTAAAAATGAGTACATGTTAAATGGAGTAACTTCATAAAGGTTTACTGCTTCTTGGGCCCTTTTAGTTATAAATGATTTAGTGGGAAGCTAAGATGAGTTGTTATGAACTTTTACTTGTTTTGAGTTGTTCTCTGTTCTTGCCACGGTGTGTTCTTTTATGTAGGACCAAATATATTGTCATTCTCTAGTCATGATTAACTATGTCCACAAAGCTATACGAGTTAATTACCGTATTTCCCTTCGCTGGTTAATTCTCAGGTTTCGGTAGCACAGACATTAGAAAGTGTATTTAGAAGAAAGTGTAAAAAAAGAATGAAGTGGGGGAAATGGAGGATAGTTAATTAAAATCTTACCTGATACTGTCTGTTTATAAGAAAGCTTGTGTTGTGTGTGTGTGTGTGTGTGTGTGTGTGTGTGTGGCTTTTTTTCTAAAGGAACACATTTAATTGCCCTGATTATATTTTCCTTATTTCTGTCCTGTAAGGAAAACAGATTGATAAATATAAAAAAAGAAGAGATCCTTTGGGGTGGTGGCTCTTGGGGTTTTTTTCTGTGAAATGTGTAAGAAAGTAGTGTTTTATTCTCACTTTAAATAATTTAAGATTTAAACTCAGAAAAAAAATTATATCTTCTGGTTTTTAGTATCGACTATGAAGTTCTGGACAATGGCTCACATTTTATAGTTTCTACTAGGTCCTTAGAGGTGGAGAATAACTATTTGGGGGAAGGGATATAACAAATCTGGAACCTTGATGCCAGGAGAAAATGAGACCAGAGAGACAAGGGGAAGTATGTCTGTAAAGATGCCAGTTATAGATGTTTAACTTTTAATTTTAATTAGCAGAATTTCTCAGAATCTTCGAGTCTTGGTAGAACTAGCAGGATGTCAGTAGGCATTGTCCCAAAAGAGTTTTGTGATCATATAAGTTCGGAAAGTATTGGATTAAATATAATTGAGGTTTATTTATTTGGAACTTCTCAGAACTTATAAAATGTTGGTATTATTTGATTCTCAAATGGGATAATAGAAAACAAATTTTCCAAACTTATTTGAATATTAAACCTTTTTTTGATGGAGGGACAGGGTGATAACTCTGATGATTGGTTTTTCTTGGAATAGACTTTGAAAAATGTTGGGTCATGTTCTGTTAACTCTTACATCGTTGTTTGTTAGCCCACAAGAAACAGCAAATCAGTCTTTACATGAGTCACATTTTGTATTGATTTTCCTTACATTTCCTGAAATTAACAAAGCAGCACTGAACTGGCCTTATTATGCTCAAATCACTTTTCTCCATTAACTAAAGAGAAGCGGATATATGTATTTTCTTCTTTTTAGGGCTATTACTTTGCAAATATAATCACTGCTTTGTAAATCTCTAAATTTGCCATTTGGTCCTTAAAAACTTGTAATTTTTTTTTCATTGTGTACCTTGTGTTTTGGTAGAGCTTACTAATATATTAATTGAAATTAATCACTATAATTGGATAGAAATAATGAAATAAGAATTAAATTAGAATAATTTTAATTGTCAAGATTTTCACATTTCCTGACTACAAGTATAAATTCAAGTGAATTGATGTTTTTTTGTTGTCTATTTGACCTTAAACATCAGAGAAGAACATCTACTGAGTGAGTGCTTATTTTATGTAGTACAGTGTGGGGATCTTGCTCCCATGCTCTGCAAACTTTTCAGTTTATCTTGTTCTCAGTGATCAGTACATTATGAAAAAAAATAATGAAAAACATTGGCATAGAACCTATTTATGTCTTTCCTATTCCCTACCTTCCCTGCTTCCCAACCTTCACATCCAGGCACCACCCTAAGGAACTCTTTTATAACTGACTTACCTTAGGACCAAGCTACTTTGACTATGTGAAGTCCCCTGGTGACACCCTTCAAGAAGTCAGAATGTTCAAAGGCAGTTTAATAGTAAAGTTGACTTAACCTGCCCTGACCAGTTTGGCTCAGTGGATAGAGAGTCGGCCTGCGGACTGAAGGGACCCGGGTTCGATTCTGGTCAAGGGCATGTATCTTGGTTCCAGGCACATCCCCAGTGTGGGGTGTGCATGAGGCAGCTGATCAATGTTTCTCTCTCATTGATGTTTCTAACTCTCTATCCCTCTCCCTTCCTCTCTGTAAAAAAATCAGTTAAATACATTTTTTAAAAAATTAAAGTTCACTTAACCTGATCACCAAGGAAATATAAATATGTTCAATTACCCTGAAGGGAATTCTGGGTGAGCTTCCAAAATTTAAAGATTAAAAGCTTTTTAAGGTGTTTTAAAAATATATATCTTTTTATTGATTTTAGAGAGAGAGGAAGAGGGAGGGAGGGAGGGAGAGAGAGAGAAACATTGATCAGCTGCCTCCTGCACACACCCTATTGGGGATTGAGCCCACAACCCAAGCAATGTGCTCTTGACCAGGAATCGAACCCATGACCATTTGGTGCACAGGACAACACCCAACCAATGGAGTCACACCAGCCAGGGCACTTTTTAAGGTTTTTGACACTCACTGTCTATATTGTCATATGCTATAGTTGAATTCATTGACTTTCGTTATAAAACTGGTAACCAGAATTTTGTTTTAATAATGAAAAGTTTAATTATTTTCCACTGAGCCAAACCGGTTAGGGCAAAAGTTTAATTATTTTCAAGTATCCTGAGAATTTATGTTCATTGTTTTGCTTGATGTTATAATAATAATATATTAACAGAATCATTTAGAAAAAAATTCATAAAGTGAAAGTGATTTTGATCCCCTAATCTTAAACAAGTCTTATTTGCTTACCTTAAGAAGTAGCATTCAGTAGGTCCTGAAAATTATGGGGTGTTTGTATTGGTCAGCACTATTTATTTGGTACACATTGCCTTTCATTTTAATTCCAAGTAATAGTAAAATAAAGGGCTTTCTCAAGTCTCAAAGGCAATAAAGGTTGAGACTTCTCCTGTCTTTACATTGCTGAGGTAGATCCAGAAAATACCTGCTGCACTGTGACATTTTAGATATTAGAAAAACATTTTCTTCAAAGGAAGGAACAGTGAAAATGAAAATAAATTTCAGAATTTTATAGTTGTGTATTAATATTATTTGTACTTTTCTTTGTAGTCATCTTCATTGTAAACTTTTATCATTTTGATTTTTAACTTAACAAGGAAAATAACCCACCAGTATTTGAAAATAGCACCATGTCACTTTTGAAAGTCAGTAGAATTTATGCAATTGGGACCTGGGATTTCAAACCATTTTTGTTTTTATTTTTCTAGAGTTCATTAAAAGCATTCGTATGGTCCATGTTTTTATTCTTTCTCTCATTATCATTATGATTGGAACCTCTTTTAATTTAATTTCTCACAGTTATTAGCATAACATGATCTGTTTCAGGATTGTCTTGGGGATCATCACAAAGAAGAACATATTAGAGCATCTCGAGCAACTAAAGCAGCACGTCGAACCCTTGGTGATTAGATATATGAGATCTCCTCATTAGACACCTTAGACGTCAGGAGGCATGACACTTGTGAACTGTTCAGTCCTCTCTTTCCCAGACACCTGCCCAGCAAAGGCCTACATGCTGCCAATTTCACTTCTATCTCATAATATGCCTGTAAGATAAATTTAAATGTATGTAAAATTTCACTCATGGGAAGTAAGCAAAAGTTAACATCTCATCAAAATCATTAGTTGCAATTTAAGAACTGTAAAGAGTTTGGCAGTTGACTGAGTAAATATTACTGGACATTTTTAAAGTAACACAACATATCTGTCTACTTTAGTGCTTACACCAGTCTCAGAGGATGCCAGATTGGTTAAAAATGTCTACCCCGTCACCCCAAACCCTCCCCCTCCTTTAAAAAAAAATGTTTCCTGATCTTGTGGTAGTCTTGTGGTAAATCTAAGCTCACAAATCATTTTAACCGAGCTTAGCAATGTTAAATTTGCCGACAATTAAATGGATTTTTTTATGGGCACACTAACTGGAGCGTAATATGTATGTGTATATATATGTGTGTGAGCATAGCATTAGTTCTTTTTCTGCTATACCCTCATACCCTCAATACTTTCAAAGTCAATAATGTGTCTCTTGCCATTTCATTAGTGAACTGGACCTAGAATATGTGTGTGCCCCTTCTGTATGATGCTTCTAGAGTGCTGTAAGCAGTTTTTAGGGTCAGATGCATTTGTTCTAACAGACTCTATGTCCTTCCTAGTGGTTTAATGACTAAAGATAAATTTTGAATTATTATCTTACCTCATAACCTAAAAATTGTCTGGCTTTAGCAATAAATGCCTGAAATTATTTTGCCGTGCAATTGCCATACCTATATAAACTTGTCCCAGTTTGTTTAATACACAACTGATTGTGTATTCCTGTTGTATGCTAATATTTCACAAGTGTTTCATGCATCCTTTTAAAAAAACTACTAATCAGAATAATAAGTAGCTACTCATTCATCCTGCTTTGTGCTTCACTTACAATATTTTAGGACTGCTTCTTGATTTTTTCATCTATCTTTTAATGTAAGCATTAACAACTAAGACTTTCATAAAAGCACTCTATCTTAACTTTTTTGGCCAAAATCAAAAAAGGAAAACATTGATGAGTGTTGGGTTGTCTTATAGATTTGTTCTGGCTTCTGAAGTTTGCTATTGAGGTTCTGTGTTGACCATTTAATCTCAATTGTATGTGCTTTCATGAAGATTATGCATACAACTGGGCAATCTGTTTTTTAAAAGTTAATTTTAGTTTTAAAAAATGGAATATTGAGGGGATTTGGTCATCAAATATTTTACTGCTTTTTTGGTGTGATAGGAATGTATATTCCTTCTCAAATGGGATTAGTATAATTTCTTTTCCATACATCCTCCCATTTTTTTTGTTACTTTTTTGTTGGCATTCATTAGTCAAAATAGCTCGACTTCAATGAGAGTCTCAGTGGAAAGAACATTGTACTATTAGTGACCATAATACTTTTTATATCAAAGGATGGTAGCTGGGTAATTTGATTATCTTTACCAATAAAATATTTTTGAAAGTACAATATCAGGCACTTGCTTTGCTCTATTCCTGTCAACAAAAAGGATTTAGCTATAAATGTAGCTTCTCATTTTCTTTTTCCCTTTTATTTTAATGGCAGTCTTCTCTTTATTTTTTTTCAGGCGCCTCCTTGGCATTATAACAAAAAAAGATATCCTCCGTCATATGGCCCAGACGGCAAACCAAGACCCCGCTTCGGTAATGTTCAACTGAACCCCGTAGATGAGGACAGAGAGGAGGCAGAAGAGGAAGTTCATTTGTTGAATAGCACAACTCTGTAACCTGAGGGAGTCGTCTACCTATAGTTCTCCTTTAAACAAAAAAAGAAAGAAAAAGAAAAAAGAAAATATAAAAGCCAGGCTTTTGCAACATGGTTTGCAAATAATGCTGGTGGAACGGAGGAATTGTTTGGGGAGGGAAAGGAGAGAGAAGGAAATGAGTGAGGTATTTCCCCGTCTAAGGAGAGCAGCCAACCACCTCCTGTCATTCTGCACTGGATGCGTTCAGCTGAGGATGTGCCATGAAAGTGCAGACTTGAGCCCCAAAGGAGAGGGCCCTGGAGCCCTGGAGCACCCGGCCTGTTACTCCAACATCGCAAAGACGTGTTATCAGTCCCCGTTTCTGGAGGGGTTACTTTGAATTGAGCCATCTATAAGACTGCAGGTCTTGCCCTTTTTTAATCAAAACTGTTCTGTTTAATTCATGAATTGTATAGTTAAGCATTACCTTTTTACATTCCAGAAGAGCTTCTCTCTCTTTCTTTCTCTCTCTGTAACAAAGCCTCTTTAAATTGGTGTGCCCTTTTGAAGCAATCCTTTCTCATATTGAGATGTACTGTGATTTTACTGAGGTTTCATCACAAGAAGGGAGTGTTTCTTGTGCCACTACACTAACCATGTAGTTTTTTTTACCATCACTGAATGCTTGGAGCCGACACATGCACCATAACAAAGGCCGATCAAACAGGTACAATCTTGAATGAAGCATGAATGAGATCTCTCAGCTTGTGTGCTGTGTGGTTCAGAATCTTTTTGTTTTTCCCCCTCTCAGATTTTATGGATAATGTGACCTGGTCTTATGCATATTTTCTATTTCTAAAACTGCTATGAAATACAAGTACTGTTCAGCATAAGGAAGCACCGTGCTACTGCTCTGACAGTAAAGAGAAGTAACTATTCTGTTTAGCTATATCTGAAATTAACTGCATGTTTAAACACTGGAATTTTTTTTTCTTCTTGAAATTAGATCAGTAATTTTTTTCTTTCCTCAAGATATTTTACTGCTGACACTGAAGAAATGTAATTCATAACTTGCACTAATGTATATTTCTTTTTCTTAAAAATTTACCATTCTTATTTATATTTTTATGGATTAAAATTTATAAAATACAGATCAGTTAATATCTCACTTAAGTAATTTTACCTTTTTAATGTGATTTTTATAGACTAATTCTGACTTACAAATATGGAGATATGAACAGAGTTTACAATGGGAACAAGGGTTTGAGAGAGGATGTGGTTATTTATGATCTAATGTGTACATAAACCTTCTTCTGATCCTTCACTGCCATCCCCTGGATTCTAGCATCTGACCTGTCCATTCTGACTCATTAATGGAAAATTGAAACACTACAAATCACTTTGAAGATTAAAATCAAACATTAAATAGTGTTTACCTTTAAAAAAATCAAATGAAATTGCAAAAATAGCAGTTAAAATTGTAATCAGAACATAACCTTTGAATCTTCGGGTATGTCACATCCAGAGGTATTCAATGATGTTTTGACTATTCACAGCGCATATTTTGCAGGATGAATTGAAAATGTATTGGGGTATGTTTGGGATTGTTTTTGGAAATGTCTGTCTTAATCATGGTCTTAATTCACTATCGGCAAAGGTAGTTTTCTTGAAGGACTGGCCTGAATATTCTGTGATTATGCATTTTTGGTTGGAAAGTGATTTTTTGCAGACATTTTCTGAAACAAACTGGCAATGAGCTGCTTTTTTGGAAGTGAGTCTTCACTTCCTAGTTTTTAATAGATCTGTAAGATCACATAAGATGGGTAAAATCTTGAAGATTTACAAGATCATGAAGCCATATTAGAATGACAATTGTTAAGTTGAACAAAATTTTAGAAACTCTGTGAAACATTTTAGTTTTGCTATCTGCCTAAAATTGGTACTTTGTCCAAGACACTTCCCCACTTTGGCAGACTTCAAGTTTTCTGGCCCCTTCAAAGTTTCTTTGACCATCCAGAGTACGATCATTTCTGAACGATGGTTGTGTGTATCTTATCTCCAGCTTGTCTGAAGTGTGCAAGGCGCTGCTGGAGTGTGAGTTCCTCAGCACTGGCTACCGAACAACTTAATTGCTTGTCCTCAGTTACAAGCCTTCGAAGGAGTAGCGAGTTTCTTTGCAGGTAGCTTCATCATAGTAAACTTTACATGGATTTCGTTTTTCATGTTAGGTCCTCCTTTCATTGCCCATCCTGCTTCAGAGACTGACATTTCAGGGTGAACACTCAAGGTGTATTTCTATCTCTGATGTGTCTTACAGCTGAAATACAGGAAAAGTGCCATATTTCTATGCATTCAGTGGTTTTCTTTGGGATTACGATCTGTTCCATTTTTCTTCTTGATATGTTGAGGTATGTCTGCTTTTTCACCAAACTGTGAAATAGTGGAGATCATGAAATATATGTGCCTGGCTGATTGGCAAATAATATGTGGAGCACCTTATTTGCGTCGCTTTTTGGAGAAGGTCTGATGAGAATGGGCAAGGGTGTCAGCATCTCTTCCTAATAATTGTTTTCAGTTTTGGTTCATGAAGAATGCTTAGTTTGTTAACCTGTGATGTTGCCTAGAGCTGTATTTATCTGTTTTTATTTATACTAGTATAGTAAAGCTGCATATCATTACAGTAAAAATGATTACTGTGATGAGTTAATCAGAATATCTATTAAAATCTATATGACAATGTGTGGTTTGCCCTTCAATTATACTTAGAAACCCTTCCACTTTTACTCTTTTTGCAGTGCAGGCCAGTATGTTTGGCACAAGCAGCCTTAAAGGGGTGATATATATGTAAAGCTTCTCTCAGATTACAGAACCATTCATGCACGTTGCAAGCAAGGAGCAACCAAACAGCAGCTGCTGGATTGAACAGCAGGGTATATACATACCAGCAATAGTACAGAGCCTCCCTGTCTGTGCAAGTTGCAGGTTTACAGAAAGATTTCATTTCCGTTTACATTCACAAAACCATGGTGTTTATTATTATTTTTAAATGTTTTTATTGATTTCAGAGGGGAAGGAAGAGGGAGAGAGAGAGAGAAACATCAGTGATGAAAGAATCATCGATCGGCTGCCTCCTGCACGCCCCCTACTGGGGACTGAGCCAGCAACCCGGGCATGTGCCTTTGACCAGAATTGAACACTGGACCCTTCAGTCTGCAGGCCGACACTATCCACTGAGCCAAACCAGCTAGGGCAAAAACCATGATATTTAAAAAGAAAGAAAGAAATATTATGCTATTTGTATGAAGAGAAAGTATGTGATTTACATTTTAAAATTTTACCTTGGAAACTTGCTAATAGAACTGCCTAAAAAGAAGTGGTGACATTTGATTGTTAAAAGATTTCAGGAGTCTACTAATATTAAACTTTTAGTAAAGAGGCAAGCACTTACTAAAAATTCAAGGATAGAACTTTTATTCATTTCATTTGGTCATTCACTAAGTACTTACTGAACACTTACTGTGTTCTAGGCATTATTCTCTGTCTTTGAAGCTGACATTCCATTTGGGAAAGAGACACATAATATGGTATGCCAGATGGTGGTAAATATCACAAATTCAGTGGAAAAATGCTTCCTACATGCTACACATTGTTGTAGGCATACATGAATCAGACAGAGTTCTAAGGGAGCGAAGTTAGGGTAACCAAGGAAGGCCTCAGGGATAAGGTGACATCTCAGCAGAAACCTAAAGAAAGTGAGGGAATGATAGTTATCTGTGAGAAGAGGAAATAGATGCAAACATCCTGAAGTGTAGGACATGCCTGACAGGTACCGGGAACACTAAGCAGGTCACTGTGGCTGGAGGGGCAAAGGTATGAGATGAGAAAAGAGGTTGAGTGTGTAAGAATTTGGCTTTTGTCCTGAATAAAGCGGGACTCTGGTGAGGCACAGAGTGACGTGATTGATCTCTGGCTGCTTCAGTGGAATAGACTGGAAGGGGCAGGGGTGGAAGTGGGAAGACCAGCTCGAAGGCTCTTGGAATAACAAGGTAAGTTCTGATAGAGGTTTGAATCTGACTGGAACTGGTGGAAGCTGTTCAAGGGGTTGGATTCTAGACATTCTGCAGGTGGAAGACAGGATTTGCTAACAGTGTGGAGTGATGGGAGTAAAGGTTGTCACCATGGTTTTTGGTCTGAGCACAGAACAATAGAATGGCTACTGACTGAAGTGGGAAAGACATCACAAAGAATAGATTGGGGGATGTGCACAGAGAGGAATTTTGGTTTTAGGCATTACGTTTTAGACGTCTAAGTGGGGATGTCCAGCAGGCAGTTGAACATATGAGACAGGTTGAGGAGAAACTCCCAAGTGTAGCCTGAGATACTTAGACAATGGGAAGCATCCTGGGACAGGAAGGGGTCACCATGGGAGGAAGTGGACAGAAAGGACTGAGAACTGATGCATTTGTATGTTTGGATTTGAGATGAGCTGCCGGGGTCCAGCCGCAGTGGTCCAGGGGTTCCCAAAGGTGTGGACGGAGTTGGCGAAGAATGATTTACACGGAGACAGCGTTCAGATGATCAGCCTATCTCTCTTAGTCTCCATGGATCTTACTGTGCCTGGCTGAGGCCACAGAGAGAGAACCAGAGGCAAGCTGAGCCTTTATTTTATAGTCAGAGGTAAACAAGGTAGTGGTTACCATAGTTACACTGTTCTTGTGAGTTTCACTGGTTTTGGCCACTTCCTGCACCTCCCTCAGCCCATTAGCTTCCCAGATAAGATCTAGGGAGGATAAGGTCAAGCCTAATTATGCTAAGAGGACTGTGCCCTCTAAGCTGGGACTGTTTGTGACTTTGCCAAGAGGTCAGTCTGAGGCTTAACCCTATAGCTGCTCCCCACAATGAGCCAGTGAGGTAGGGTGGGGAGTGTGCCATTAAGGGAAGGATAGTCCCCTAAGGTAAATGAGTAATAGTTTTAACTGGTAGGTCAAGTAAATGAGGGCTGAAAATAGGCCAGCGTGGAGATAACAAATTTGACCAAAGCAGTTTCACTGGGATCAGGCAAAAATCTGATTGGAACAGGTTTGCCAGAGATTGGAAGGAATTAAGGGCAGCTATTAGAGCGCCTGAGATTTTCAGAAAAGGGATGTGTGATAAAGGGTATTTTAAGATGCAGGACATTATAGCTTTCATTTTTGATGGGAATGTGTAAGAGGGAAATTAATCAACTGAGGGGTCCTTGAGTAGCTAAAAGGGATGTCATCTGGGTACACAGCAGGACACTAAGCAACATTCATAGGAATAAGGAATGGTAGTAATGTGGTGAGATTTCATGGAAGTTATTTTGATTGCTTCTGTTTTCTGTGAAATAAACTGAGGATGGAGGATCTGTTGCATGTTTGGGAAAAATGTGAAAGTAGGAATGAAGGGCAGCAGCATGACCAACTTGAGGTTAATGGTTCTGTTTTTTCTCCAGCATGTATATTCTTTCTTACTGAGGGGGCTGTGTACTTATGGCGTAACTGGAGATGAGGCATTAAAATTCCTGACTAGAAGTGTTTCCTTTTAAATAGTCCACTCATACGTTTTATCAAAAACATTAAGTATCTCATAACATCTGTTTAAGGACACAGCTCACAAAGTAGGTAACTTTGGGGACTACAAAATGTGGGAACTAAACTAGATGAACTCAGGGCTTTCCTGTAGTCCATATGAAAGGGAAAGAGCTTCTGGGCACTTTAGCCTAATCCACAATGTTTGCTATTTTACACTTCATGATTTGCTTTGTTTTTCAAGTGAAGGACATTTTGTCAGGTTTAATGAGGATCTGAATCTGGTAAAACACAGATTTGTACTGGAAGTACAATGAAGTAATTTGCAATGGAAAACTAAAATCTAAATGAATAGTATACTGACTTCTATGTTGTATTATCTATATACTAGAGGCCCGGTGCACAAAATCGTGGGGGGGGGGTGTCTGTCAGCCCAGCCTGCACCCTCTCCAATCCGGGACCCCTGAGGGAATGTCCAACTGCCTCTCACAATCTGGGACTGCTGGCTCCTAACCACTCGCCTGCCTGCCTGCCTGATCGCCCCTAACTGCTACCCTGCTGGCCTGATTGCCCCTAACTGCCTCTGCCTCGCCCGCACTGCACCCAGGATTCCCTCCTCCGGCCGATCACAGGCACCCGGGACTTGGGCTTCCCTCCCTCTGGCTGGCCACAGGCACCCAGGACCTGGGCCGTCTTCACCTGGGTCAGCTGCAGCCACAGGGGACCGTGGGCAGGCGGCTTCACCCAGGCCACAGCCACAGGCACCTGGGACCACAGGGCAGGCGGCTTGTCCCTCTCCTGGGCCGCAGCCTGGCTGGTCCCCATTCCTCTCTCCCCAGTGTTGAATGTCTGAGCTGTTATGGTGTGACAACCATTTGCATATTAGCTCTTTATTATATAGGATATAAAACCCTAATATGTAAATAGACCGAACAACCGGTCACTATGATGTGTGCTGACCGCCGGGGGCACGTGCGGAAGATGGCAGGCACCAGCAGCAGGTGGCAGAGCAAGGAACATGGCAGGTGTTAGCTGCAGTGAGATGGTGGAGCAGGTGAGCGGGGGCGCCAGACCAAGGCGGGGTGCCGGTCGCTGTCATTGGGGCGAGCCTCTGGCAGTTACTGAAAAATACTTTGCTCCCGTGCGCTGCAGTCCCACCTGGCGCTTGCATCTGCTGCCGGCCCCAATCGCTTGGCACTGTCAGTGGGTGTGAGCGGCAGCTGCCGGCCCTAATCGCCCCTCAGGGTTTCTCCACCTCCCCCTGCTGGTGAGGGGCGATTGGGACCGGCAGCCGCCTCTCGCACCTGCTGCCGGTGATGGTCCCGCTCACACCCACAGCTGGTGCCAGAGCATTTGGGGCGGGAGGGGCTGGGCAGGGGCATGGGAGATGGGCCGAGACCTGCCCCTATGCCCACTGCAGCTTCGTGGCCCACAGTTCCTTTCAAGGTGCACAAATTTGTGCACTGGGCCCCTAGTACTATATAAGTATACTATGGAATATGATTAGTAATACAGACTGAGTAGAAGGAGAATTGTTTTAAAGAATATTCCCAGTGGGGGAAAACATGAGTCACCAGGAGACCTTTTTAAAATGCAGTTTCGTTAGGTGGGGTCAGGCACTCTAGGAGAATACTGTACAGTATCATGGGTGTGCCTTTCCCACCCTTCATAAATCTAATCTCTAAAGCTACAGCTATTAACTCAAGTCTCAGAAATAAATTATTAGTTGCCCATGTTAAATATTGAAAAGGACTCCTGGGAGGAGAGGATAGTCTGGTTATCTAGGCATTAGGTGGTCAATTCCTGTGACATTAGAGGATGACTTTCAAATGTGATTAGGATCTCACCATTTAGATGATTTGACTACCATTTATTTGCACATTAAAAAAAACACCAGAAACCATCAAAATGAAAAGGGAACCTACTGATGGGAAAACATATTCGCCAATTATACATCAGATAAGGGGTTAATTTCCAAAACACATAAGGAACTCATACAACCTAACACCAGGAAGACAATCCAATTAAAAAATGGGCAAAGGATCTGAATAAACACTTCTCTATAGAGAACATACAGATGGCTAATAGATGTGAAAAAGTGCTTGACTTCACTAACATCAGAGATGCAAATTAAAACTATGAGGGATCACCTCACACCTGCCAAAATGGCCACCATCAACAAATCAATAA